AAAAAAAAGTGGTTTGAGCTTGGGTGGACATGTGGTGGTGCTGAGGAGTGAAAGTGCACTGAAGGTAGCTCTCAGCCCTCAGGGCCCCACCGCTGTCACCCGTTCATCTCTGCCCACACTAATGCTCATTTCAGTGGCTCATTCTGATGATGAATCTTGTCACCTGGACTGGATTAGGAAATGCCCAAAAGATTAGAAAGCAACCCTCTGGGGCTGTCTGTGATGGTGGCTCCAGACACAACCGGTTCATTCCTGGATAGATTATCCCTGAATGGGTCATAACATGCTGGCATTATAAGGTGGTAAGAGGCGGGGCGTGGTTGGAGGCATGTCCTTGGGGACTGTGTCCTTCCCTGATGGCTTACTGGCTTCCTTTGCCCTCCGTCCTAACTCCCATCATGCAAACTGCTTTGTTCTGCAACACCCTTCATTCCAAGCATGTCAGGTGCCAGGCCATGATTCCCACTCAAGTTGGATGGTTCCCACTCCTACTGGGTGGTATTCTTTCTCCTCTTGTTCCTCCAGCCTCTGTTAGCTGTGTCCTGATACTGATGTCTGGCTTTCTCAACCTTTTTTCAAATTTGGTTTTAGGTTAGCATACAAAGTAATGGGTTTGGGCTGGAGAGATAGCTCGGCAGTTAAGAACACTAGCTGTTCTTGCAGAAGACCTAGGTTCGAATCCCAGCATCCACATGGCAGCTAACAACTGTCCATAACTCCAGTTCCAGGGGATCCGACAGCCTCTTCTGTCCTCCTTGGGCATTGCGTGGCATGGGTGCACTTACCTACGTGCAGGCAATATACGCATACACATAAAATAAAAATAAATAAAATATTTTTTTAAAAAGTAATGGGTTTTACGGTACCCTTTTCATCCATTTGTGTCATTATACTTCACCTCCACCCTGCCTACTTCCTACTCCCCTTCTTGGCTTTTCTTAATCTTTGCAACACCTTCTTAAAGATGTTCTCCATAGGATCTGTTTGAATGCCTGGTGGGGGTTGTTTTCCTGGCTGCACCTTGACTAATACACTCTCTTTTTATCATGTACTTCTCATGTAAACACAACTGCTGTCAGTGTCCTCCCTGCTCCAGGCTGGTTATGCCTCTGTGTCCCTGCCTCAGCTTCTCTCTCTGCCCATCTTCTCCATATGCTCCTCCGGACAAGTTCCTACTCAGGAGTCAGATGAAGGCACATCTATGCGATACAGATTTCCTCACCTCAACCCTGAGCAAAGGGGAGCATTCCTACCTTCTGTTGTTGTGTCTAGATATCTCCTTTATAGCAAGTGTCATAACTGACTGAATATTTGATTTCCTGATTAGACTAAGTCAGTTACAGACCTTGAAATTCCTAAGAGTCAAGATGGTGTTTTACTAAAATCAGGATTCAAGTATCTAGTAGCTGGAACAATGCTCGGCACACAGTATGCACTCAGTAAAAAGGTGCAGAATGCTCAGTGGTAGAGTGCTTGCCTAGCATTTACAATGGCCAGGCTTCAGTCTGCAGCCCCCCAAAAGCAAACAAATGAAAATCCTATTGGATGATGCATGCCTGTAATCCCAGCACTCACAAGGCTGAGACAGAACAACCACTGGGCACTTGAGGCCAGCCTGGGCTACATAGTTATTTATAGGACACAAAGACCTTTATCTATATATACACACACACACACACACACACACACACACACACACACACACATACATTCCATTAAATATTATCCTGAGAAAGCCCTTCTCCCCCTCCCTAGTCCCACTGGCCTCATTTGCAAAGAGGAACAATACCATAATCTCTTTTTTTCCTATACCTCAGAGATAACAACCTTTCTTCTCTTCCCCAGGGCCTTTACATTTGCCTACCTCTGCCTGAGATGCATTCAGTCAATTCCTTACCTACTCAACATGTAGCTCTTCCCTTTTCTTTTAAGACATTCCAGTCTGGCCTCAAACTCACTCTATAACTCAGGCTACCATAAGCTCCTGATCCTCTTGCCTGCATCTCTCAAGTGCTAGGAATACAGGTATGTGTCACCATGTCTTGTTTTTTTTTTTTTTCTTGTTGTTTGGTTTTTTTGTTTTGTTTTTGGTCTTTTTGAGACAGGGTCTCCCTGCACCCCGAGCTGTCCTAGAACTCACTACGTAAACTAGGCTGGCCTTAAACTCACAGAGATCCGCCTGCCTCTGCCTCATAGTGCTACAACACCTGGCAATTTTTTTTTCTTTTTTTTTTTTTGGAAACAAGGTATCCCTATAGGTTCAGCTGGCCTGGAACTGGCTACTTAGACCAAATTGGCCTGGAACTCAGAGATCCTTCTGCCTCTGCCTCCCAAGTTCTGGGATGAAAGGTGTGCACCAATATGCCCATCCAGTAACACTAATTTTTTTTGTTTAAGTAGCCTGAGTCTTCATATTTTTTAAATATTTTATGTGTATGAGTGTACTGCTTTTATGTAAGTGCACCTGTGCCTTGCAATGCCTGTGAAAGTCAGAAAAGAGTGTTGGATACCCCTGGAACTGGAGTTACGGACGGTTGTTAACCACCATGTGGGTGCTGGGAATTGAATCCAGGTCCTCTGCAAGAGCAACCAGTGCTCTCAACTGCTGAGCCAACTCTCTAGTCTTCATTTTCATATTTTAATTTCTCTAGTAATTCTTTTGGCTACACAAAGGTTTTTCTAAAATAAAATCTATTTAGGAGACTTTAGGATGCAAAAAAAAAAAAACCACAACATATTTTTAGACAGGGTTTTGTTATGTCACCTAGTCTGGCCTAGAACTCCCTTTGTCTTTGAGTTCTAGTGATGGAAGTACAGATGTGTGCCATCATGCATGGAAATTTTTTGGATTTAGATGGTGTGAAAATAATGGGTATTCAGAAATTTTACTGCCAATTTTTAAATTTTGTTGTATGCATGTATGTGCACCATGTGTGCCTGGTGCACCTGGGGACCAGAAGAGGGCATTGGATTCCTTGAAACTGAAGTTACAAGTGGTTGTGAGCTGTCATGTGGGTGCTTGGGACTAAACCTGGGTCCTCTGCAAGAGCTACTGAGTCATCTCTCCAGCCCCTAATTTTTTTTCTTTTTTGGTCTTTTTGAGACAGGGTCTCCCTGTAGCCCCAGCTGACCTGGAACTCGCTCTGTAGACCAGGCTGGCCTTGAACTCACAGAGATCTGTCTGCCTCTACCTCCAGAGTGCTGGGATTAAAGGCATGAGCCACCATGCTGGGCTTCAGCCCTGTAAGTTTTTGGGGTTTTTTTTTTTTTTTATCTTTTTTGAGACAGGGTCTCCCTGTAGCCCCAGCTGTCCTGGTACTCACTATGTAGACCAGGCTGGCCTTGAACTCACAGAGATCAACCTGCCTCTGCCTCCCAAGTGCTGGGATTAAAGGCGTGCACCACCACGCCAGGCTTCAGCCCCCTAAGTTTTTAAAATTTATTTTTATTTATATGTTGGTATGTTTGTACACATGCATGGGGAGAGGCCAGAAGCAGAAGTCAGAGCCTTGTGGAGCTAGAGTTACAGAAGGTTGTAAACCATCTGATGTGGGTGCTGGAACTGAACTCAGGTCCTCTGGAAGAGTAGTGAGTACTCTTAACTACTGAGCCACTTCTCCACTACCTACATCCAGTTTTTAATGTTGCTCTTTTCCCAGACTGCTGATATTTAACATGATTCCCTGAGAGCAGCAGGAACCACAGTCAGCCACACATGCTGACTAGCACACAGTCAAAGTTCTAGAGTGCACTGTCAAGTCAAGCCGTGAAGTACAGGGGCCTAGATATAGTAAATATATTTTTTAATTACTCTTTTTGTGCTTTTGAGACTGTCTCATGTAGCCCAGACTAGCCTTAAACTTATTATGTAGCCAAAAAATGCCCTTGAACTCCTGATCCTCCTGTCTCTAACTCTCAAATTCTGAGATTGAAGCACGTGCCACCACATCCAGCCTAAATTTTTTAAAGATTCATTTTCTTTATACATATGTGTGTATGCCACATGTGTTTGTGTGCCCACTGAGGGCAGAAAAGAACAGATCCCTTGGAACTGAAAGTTACAGGTATTTGTGAGCTGCCAGATATGGGTTCTGAGAACCCAAATACGGTCCTCTGGAAGAGCAGCAAGCACTCTTTTAACTGCTGAGCTGTCTCTCCAACCCCTTAAATATATTTTTTACTTAAGACAGGTTTGATTAAGCTAGCTGTAGTGGCACATACCTTTACTCAGCACTCATGAGGCAGAGTCAGGAGGAGCTCTGTGAGTTCAAGGTCAGCCTGGTCTATATAACAAGTTCTAGACCAACAAGGACTATATAGGGAGACCCTGTCTCAAAAAAATAAAAATTTTAAAGATATTTTCAATTTGGCCAGGCATGGTGGCTCATGCCTTTAATCCCAGCACTCGGGAAGCAGAGGTACAGATCTCGGGGAGTTTGAGGCGAGCCTAAGTCTAGACAGTGAGTTGGAGGCCAGCTTGGGCTTCAGGGAGACTCTGTCTCAAAAACACAAAACAAACACAAAAAGATATTTTCAATTTGTTATTGGGTTTGGAGACATAATCCCTTTGTAAATTGATGGTGTAACTCCAAAAGAGAGTTAAAGCTGAAATAATTAAGGGAGGATTCAAAAACTGTAAAACTTGAAACATTTGTCTAAGCCCTCCTCTGAACTCTTTCCTTTCCAGCTCCATCTCTCAAAGTAAGCTGCTCCCCTTACATAGACTTAAAAATGGGGTCTCAACTGAGCTGGACGTGAACGCAGTGCATATGGATATGGGATATGGGGGCCAGGGCTCCAAATGGAAAAGAGAAGCACTGAAGCCAAAGAAACCATTTCATCACTAGCAACAGATTTCCACTCACAGGTAGTGTACATTTACTGAAGAAACTCGCACTTCTCACCATGCTCCTGGATCTGAACTTCCGCCTGGAGCCACTAAGCACACTGCTACTCAGAGCAGTCTTCTTGTACCCACAATGGTTATCCTAGGTACTTACTGCTTTCAGACACTGAGATTGGGGTGTCACTATGATGTCATCGCTGTCTGTAGTTTGTGTGTCGCTGACTTCAGAAGCTTGTTCACAGAGTTGTTCACCTGTTAGAAAAGAGGCTGAATTACAAGCTGTGATGGTTTGAATGAGAATGTCCCCCATAGGCTCCAGGTATTTGGACATTTTGTCCCCACACAGTGGCGCTGTTTTGGGAGGTTTTAGAAGGCTATCCTAGAGGAAGCACATCACTGGGGATGGGCTTAGAAAGTTCCTAACCCTTGCCAGATCTTCAGTTGCTCTCTTGCTTCCTGTGCCTGCATGATGATGTGAGAGCTTAGCTTCTGCTGTTCCTGCTCCAGCCACCTCTGGCCACCATACCTCCCGGCCATGATGGACCATAATTCCCTGGAACCGTAAGCCCAAATAAACTCTTCCTTCTATAAATTGCTTGGGTCAGTGTTTCTATCACAGCAACAGAAAAGTGGCTAATACACAAGCACTCTCAAAGCGCTTTGCTACTCCAAGCAAAGAGCCAGCACCAACATCAGTTCTGCTATCTGATCACTTCCCTTTCGGAATCCAACCCTGTGTTTCAAAGAATCTCTTTTCCAGAAGCCTGCCGTGATAAGGTTCACTTCTGAAAAAAAAAAAAAAAAAAAAAATGGAAGGAAGGGAGAGGGAGAACGGAAATGAAGAAGCGAGGGGTGGCGAGAAAGGGGTTGAAGCCCAGCAGGCAGGCAGGCCGGCCCTACCTCCCTTCTAGGGGTTGAAGAAAATGACCACGCTGAGGAAAAGCAGTGCAAAGGAGTATGGTGAGCACGCTTTCCAAAGATGGCCTCAAGCACAGCTCCCCTTCTGCTCCTCCCAGTGTGACCTCCACACCCATTTGATGGACTGATAGTGTATATAGGTCCCTGCCCTTCAGCTGAGCTTGGTCTCTGAGACTGCTTAAACCAAAAGAGAGTAATAGAGAGCCAGACATGGTGGTGCATGACTATAATCCCAGCACTTGGGAGGTAGGAACGGGAAAAATGAGGGGTTCAACTTAGCTATGGAGTTAAGTTGGAGGCCAGTATGGGCTATAAGAGACCCTCTGGTGGGGGATGGTGTGCATGATGGTTAATGTTAATTATCAGTTAAAAGAGTCTAGAATCACCTGGTAGATGGGCCTCTGGACATGCCTGTGAGGATTATCCTGATTACATTAACTGTGGAAGATCCACCTTGATTATAGATGGGACCATTCCCTGGGCAGGGGATCCTGGACTGTCTCAGTGATCTGAGCCTAGCACGATGCATTCATTGCTCTTTCTGGCTGTGGAACCAGCTACTTCAAGCTCCTCTGCCTTGATTTCCCCGCCATGTTTTACTATCTGCAGTAGCAGGCATCTGTGATCCCAGCATTCCAACAGCAAGATGAGAGGGGAGACAGGGGAATCTCCCAGAAGTCTGTGGGCCAGCTGGCTTAGAGTACACTGAAGCAGCAAAGACCTTGCCTCAACAAGGTAGAAGAGAAGCAGATCCATCCAGAAAGTTGTCCTCAGAGCTCTACACATAGCCAAGATGCATGCACACACACAAACACACAAATAAATATAGAGTATGATACAATTAGCTTCTGCATAACCAGCCAGTCAAGAAACAGCACTGTCAGCATGCCAGATGACAAACAAGGACCCTTCCCTTTTCCTAGTAGGAGATCAGGGTTATAACTAGCATAAAGCACTTCAAGACTGATCTCAGGCACAGAATTAGGGGTGAGCCAAACCTCAGTAGTTAAGACAAGTGTGTGTGCACACACCCCTGCACCTTCCTGCCTCCCCTCTTGCGCATGTGTGTAGCATAGGTACATGTTTGTGTTGCTGTATGTACACGTGTGTGCAAGTGCATGTGTATGTGTGCACATGTGTATGTGGAGGCCAGAGGTCAACATATATTGGATATCTTCCTCCACTGCTCGCCACCTTATTTCCAATTTAAATTATTTTATTTATTTATTTATCCATTCATGTGTTATGTGTATGTGTTATGTGTGTATGTGGCATGCATGTGCCACAGCATATGTGTGGCAGTCAGAGGACAACTCGTGGGAGCTAATTCTCTCCTCAACCATATGAGTCCTGGGTGGTAAGCACTTTTATCCTCTAAGCTCATCAGCCTCTGACACCTTTAAATTTTTAATATACATCCACCTTATTTTTTGAGATAACATCTCTCACTGAACCTAGAGCTCACTAATTCAGTTAGGCTGGCTGGTGAATGAACTCCAGGATCCCACCTGTCTCTGCCATCCCAGTGTTTCAGGTTACAGATGTATGTTGCCACACCTGATTTTACATGGGTGCTGGGGATCCAAACTGAGGTTCTCATGTTTATTTGACAAGCTCTTTGCTAAATATGTGTGTGTGTGTGTGTGTGTGTGTGTGTGTGTGTGTGTGTGTATTCCTAAGACAAGATATCATATAGCTTGGGCTGCTAGGCTGCCTTGCTATGTAGCTGAGGATGACTTTGACTTCTGCCTCCACGCCCCAAGTGCTAGGATTACAGATGTGTTTCTCTACAGCCAGCTCCATTTTTTTTTTTTTTTTTTTTTTTTTTAAAAACAAACCCCCCCCATACCCTAATCCCCTCTGCTGCCCTGAAATTTTTACCTAACACCAGTCTTTCTTTAACCCCAAAAACCCCCCCCTGCCTCTACCTCCCGAGTGCTGGGATTAAAGGCGTGCGCCACCACGCCCAGCCTCTTTCTTTTTTTAAAAAAAATATTTTATTATTTTTATTTTATGTGTCTGAGTGTATTTCCTGCATGTATGTGAGTACACCCGTGTCATGCAATGTGGAGGAGGTCAGAAGAGGGCTTTGGATTCCCCTGGAACTGGAGTTAAGGATGGTTCATAGCCGCCATGTAGGTGCTGGGAATTGAACCCAGGCCCTCTTCAAGAGCAGTCAGTGCTCTTAACCACTGAGCCATCTCTCCAGCCCCTTCTTTTCTTTCTTAAAAAATATTTTATTATTTTTATGTTATGTGTATAAGTGTATCACCTGCATGTATGTAAGTGCACCTGTGTCATTCAATGCCCACAAAGATCAGAAGAGCGTGTCGGATAACCTTGAACTGGAGTTACAGATGGTTGTTAGCTGCCATGTGGGTGCTGGGAATCAACCCCTGGTTCTCTGTAACTACTGAGCCATTTCTTCAGTCCCCCCACTTATTACTGAGTTGAGTCGGCATCTTTAAACACCATAGTTTAGACTTACCTATTTTTGAAATTTACATAAAAGTAAACATACGTTATGTATTTTGTGGAGTATGAGTGTTTTGCCTGCATGTAGGTGCATCCCCTTCATGCAGTGCCTGTGGAGGTAAGAAGAGGGCATCAGATCCCCTCAAACTGGAGTTACAGATGGTTGTTAGTCACCAATGTGGGTGCTGGGAATTGAACCTGGGTCCTCTGGGAGAGCCGTCAGTGCTCTTAACCACTGAGCCATCTCTTTAGCTCCACTCAGTTATATAACTCACTATGTGGACCAGGCTGGCCTTGAACTCACAGAGATCCGCCTGCCTCTGCCTCCCGAGTGCTGGGATTAAAGGCGTGCGCCACCACACCCGGCTCACTCAGTTATATTTTTAAGAGTCTAGTGATTCTTAAATTCTGAAGATGAACCTAACATGTATCCACATTAGGTTTTACAAATCTGATAGTATGATAATGATACTATGGTTATATAACTTTCTTTACCTTAAAATGAAAGTTGCAGGGGGCTCCAGAGTGCTGGGATTAAAGGCGTGCCCCACCATGCCCAGCATAAATAAAATTTTTAAGGAGAGAAAGTTGCAGAGTCGGGCATGTTGGCACATGCCTTTAATCCCAACACTCTGGAGGCAGAGGCAGGTGGATCTCTGTGAGGTCAAGGCCAGCCTGGTCTACACAGGGAGTACCAGGCCAGCTGGGGCTATAGAGAGACCCTGTCTCAAAAAGACCAAAAAAAAAGTAAGTGGCAGTAGTAAAGACAGCATGGCATTTGTAACTCATTCTTAGTTCTTCAGGAAAAAAAGTGATAGTGGAAAAATGCTAAGAATCGCTGGTGTAGGCTGGGTGTGGTGGCGCACACCTTGAGCCCTAGCACTCAGGAGGTAGAAGCAGGTAGATCTCTATGACTTCAAGGCCAGCCTGGTCTACAAATGGAGCTCCAGGCCAGCTGGGGCAACAGGGAGACCCTGTCTCAAAACAAAAAACAAACAGAAAGAAAAAGGTAAAAAAGAAAGAAAAATGTTAAAAGTTGATGGGTCTGAGTGAAAGGCATATGCAATTTTGGGGGAACTGCTCATGCACTTCCTCTGTAAATTTGAAAGTATTTTATCTGTTTGAGACAGAGTCCCACAGCCCAGGCCAGCCTTGAATTCACTACATTGATGAGTATGGCCTTAAACTTCTGACCCTTGTGCCTCCACCTCCTATGGGAGTATAGGCATGCGCCACCACGCCCAGCTAGAATATGCCTTAAAATGAATTTACTTAAGCTTCTTACTGTCATCATTCATCTGAATGACCTAGTTTGCCATTATGATCACCAGAAATCATGCCTGATTTTCATTTTAACACTAAAACCATGCTCTAATTTAAAAGAAACTTGCATTAACAAGTTTCATCACAAATGAGCCAAATACACCTTTATTTCTTTATAGACATAATTTACAAAACCCTAAGAAAATTTAACATTTTACAAATAGTGGGAAACTAAACTCTAGCCAGCTAGCTATAAATACATAGAAAGGTAACTATCTTTGAGAATTCAAGAATTGGTTGGCATAACCCTTACACTTGTAATACAAGAAAGGCCTGGAAGCTTACACAGTTTTTCATTAAAAGCCAGTAAATAATTGGCTTTAGAAAAATAATTCAATGATCAAGTAGAAAAATTAGATTTTTAAATAGACATACCGTTTATAGGGTGTGGGGGGTCCTCCTGTCTCAGTGCTGAATGGGATAATGTCATGTCTTCTTTGTTCTGCATTGGAAAACCATCATCTACTGCCTCTGTGAGCTCTGAGAACGTCCACTCGGTGCAGTTCACCTCCTTCAGAACAAGAATAATGCTATGTAAGTGGTCATATCTTGAATTTCTTTTTTAGTATTAGCTTTTTAAATGTTTATGAAATTCAGTGCTTTTTAATGAATGAATTAAATGATATGTTATTAAAGCTCTAAGCCTAAAGTACAGTGTATATAATATGCTGGACCAATTTACATAGAAATGAAACAAACAGTTTAGGGCTTTGGGAATGCACGTGGAAACAGGCTGCAAGCCCCATGGTTCCAGTTACTTGCTTACTGTTTCCTCTGTGCATTTTCTGCTTCTACCGCTGATAATAACATAGGTAGGGACACTTCAGCCTTGTCTTACTTGAAGTGTATTTCCATTTAAGATGTTACAGCTCAGATTCTCCATTCTGTTCTTTCCTTGGACACTTGTTTTCTTGCCATGTTTTCTTGAGTAGCTTGCAAGCTGGTGTTCCTTTTCCTTCTCTCCTCCTGTCTGAGGAGGTTTTCTCTTTGCTTGATATCGGTCAGCCTCAATTGGAATCTCTGCAGATGCCACCTGGTCCTGAATAGATGAACCAGAGACAGCCTTAAAAGAGGATGGTCAGGGACTGAAAAGACGGCTCAGCAGTTAAGAACACCTGCTGGCCTTCCAGAGGACCTGGGTTCAATTCCCAGCACGCACATGGCAGCTAACAACCATCCCTAACTCCAGTTCCAGGGGATTTGACGCCCTCTTCTGGCCTCCACAGGCACTGCATGACATGGGCGCACTTATATACATGCAGGCAATAAATACATTCATGCACATAAAAAAAAAATTTAGCTGGGTGTGGTGGCGCACACCTTTAATCCCAGCACTTGGGAGGCAGAGGCGGGCGGATCTTTGTGAAAAGACAAAAAAAAAATAAAAAAATAAAAAAAAAGAGGATATTCAACATCCTTCATATTCAGAGATGGATTTGTGAACTAGCACTAGTGTTTGCTTCTCTCCCCTGCCACAAGAGATGCTCTGGCTCTTAGGCAGTAAAACCCAAGTCTTTCTTCCTTCAGGACCTTCTAAGATTATTTTTGATTACCTAAACATAGCATTCACAGAAGAAATTTTTTTATTCCACTCTTAACTGTCCTCTTCAAACCTGCTTCATAGGATCTGTAGATGTCTGTTACTTAGGGAGTTCTGGCATTACCTGGAGAAAAGAAGCCTTCTCTGCAGATGACACCTCCACGCCGTCTTTGTTATCCTCTTCAGTCCTGGTTTCCGGTGTCAGGAAGCCCTCTGGGGGTAGGTAGTGAGACTTCCAGTTTACTTCCACTTGGATAGACCCATTGGACTTTTCCACAGGGTCAGTGAGGTTAAAATCACCTTAGAGACACAGAGATATAACAGTTGGTCACATGAAATAGGCTAGTAAGCATTTATCAGCATCATTTCTGTTTCTCCCCATTAAAAGAATACATTGTTATGTTATTTATGTTAGTAATTAATTTAAATACATCTAAAATCATGATTATAACACATTGAGAAATAATATAAAACAGCAGTGAGGTAAGATTATCCTAGAGGAAGATGAGCATTTCTGTCTCAGGAAGAGAGACAAAAGACGGACAGAGAGGCACAAAGCTTGCTTGTCACCAATCATCCAGCCAGTAAACGCGATTGTGTTACCATTACTGTCACTGAAAGCTTACCCAGAGAAGCATCACGTATGTTCAAGTGGTACCAAGAAAACTAGCAAAATGACTTGTTCCCATATGCCAGATTTGTGATTTATAGCACGCATTAACAGCTTGAGTTAATGAGTGCTTGAGTTGAGGACCTCTCCTCTTGGGCAGAAGCGTCAGCATTTTTTATTTCTTAAAGTACTTGTGACATTGGGCAGAGAGCTTTGCATACTTCAGAGTGCTCCAAATCTTGTTAAATATGGTTGGTATTGCTTATTCTTGCTATATTTCCTAATGAGGTTCCAGGTACTCCCGCCTCACTCTCCGCGGACCGTAGCCAGAGTCAGCTTCTCCTACATCTACCCTACAAGCCTGAGAAAGAAAGGTCAGGTAGACACTCCAAAATCTGCTTTTGTCATTATCTGGCATAGTAACTTTAAGAAGACAGTAAAAGCCAGGCGTGGTGGCACACGCCTTTAATCCCAGCACTTGGAAACAGAGGCAGGCAGATCTCTGTGAGTTTGAGGCCAGCCTGGTCTACATTCCAGGACAATTGGGACTACAGGGAGACTCTGTCTCAAAAAGACCAAAAAAAAAAAAAAAAGTTTTAAAATAATAATAAAAAATTAAAAGCAGTAAGAAATTATGGGAGAATATTGTCACTCTCAGATATCTAGTCATGCACCAAGAAACAACAGTCCTTAAGCAAAGACAAATGCTCAGTAGCACTAAAGAACTTCAAAGATTTTCAAAGGTAGAAGTGTGGAATCCAGGTTGGGAGGTTGAAGGCCCTTAGGAATCTTGCTTCAGCTGCTGAAACGAGCCAAAGCCTGTTTTCACAAGTTAGATAGCTGTAAATCTTGTTTCTCTTGCTCCTGACAATATTCTAAAGTACTTTCAGATTTCAAGAGAGACTGTTCTGGGCTGGTGAGATGACTCTTGCCACACAAGCCTGGCAACCAGAGCTCCACGTAAAGGTGGACGGAGAGAACCAATTCCACAAAGTTGTCCTCTGACCTTCACGTATACACACATACCCACAGACACACATCGTGCCATGTGCATACACACAAAATAAATAGAAAGTTTTAAAAAGAGAGACGATTCCAAGTAAGCAGAGAAAAACTGAGTTGGGACAGGGAGGGGACACAGGGGAGGACACAGACATGTAAGATTCCACTCCCACCTTTAATAGATTTGTTTTGTGCAAGAGGCAGCAAGGGCACTTGGACTCGGCCAAGATAGGAGCCATGCTCTGGGTCTTCATCATCAAAAACGTATATAGACAGGGCTTCCCGCCTCAGATACTGGTCCAGGTCAGAGGTAACAAGCACTGGGAATAGAGCCTGGTCTCTAAAGTACGGATTGCTGCTGGCTGGAATGATGGTGGTGTCATGGTCAGGAAAGGTGAAGAAGCGGTACATGGCATACGGACTGGGCTGAGTTCCTAGCCGTCGACTCCGGAGGCCACAGCACTTGGTGATTTCAATCCGCAGCTCATTCTGAGGTTCCCAAGTCTCTGGTCTGGACTGGAAAGATGTTGGTCTCGGACTTAAAGGACAGCCGGAGAGCACCTGCTAATAGGTGAAGCCCTTGGTGTGGAAGAGCTATGACTTAGACAGCTGCTGGGTCACGGAGGAACCTAGTGCCCATCACCTGTCTGTCCCTGGCTCTGGCAGCTGTCTGAGGGACAGGCTCATCCTCAGGCCTTATCCTATAGAATGACAGAGGCTGGAGCTGGCAAGAATGCTCAGGGCATAAGGACACTTGCCGCCAACCCTGACAACCTGAGTTTGATTGCAAAACCCACACAGTGAAAGGCAAGAACTGGCTCCAGAGAGTTGTCCTCTGCCCCCCACATGCACACTGTGGCACATGAACACCCACACACAATAAAAAACTGTTTTCTCAGAAAAGGTGTCACTATGAAGCCCTGTCTGGCTTGCAACTCACTATGTAAGCCAGGCTGACCTTGATCTCAAAGAGACATGCCTGCCTCTGCCTTCCGAGTGCTAGAATTAAAGGTATGCACCACCACACTTGGCAATAAGTTTTTTAAGGTTTCTTTTTTGAAGATTTATTGTTTTCAGTTATGTGTATGTGCATGGGTTTGTGCACATGACTGCAGGTGCCCAAGGAGACCCAAGGTGTTGGATTCCCCTGGAGTTACAGGTGGCTGTGAGCCATCTGACTTGGGTGCTAAGTACCAAACTCTGGTCCTCTGTAAAACCACCCAACCATCTCATTAGCCCAAATAAATAAATTTAAATTTATTAATGTATTATTAGCAAAATATCAGATTTTATTTGGAGAATTTCAGTAAATTTGAAATTGTTATGGGGGTAATATCTGAACCAAAGCTTGGAGAGGAGAAAACTGATGAACAAAATGAAACTCAGCAAACTGTGGGACAACATCCAGTGTTGCAACAGTCAGAATACCAGTAAAAGATTACGCGTGGAGTGAAAAGAATGTTTGAAAGTTAATGGCCCCCAAACTTCCAAAACTATACAACTTTGTAAAAACTCTACAATGTGCAGGCCCAGAAGGCTCACAGAGGTCATCGGGACAGACACAGAGGGAGAATCTGCTGGGCTACACAGCTAGGCTGGTAAAAGTGAGAAGAGAGACTTGCCTAGGAAGTAAGTGTGCTGTGTGGGCTCTGGGGTTGGTACTGAAACATGATTTTCCTGTTAGGGGATTGTGACGAGCTTGCCAAACTCCAGCATTCGGGCATAGCCTCCCTTCCACAAGTCTGCCTTGACTTCCGTACCAGCACTGATTGTAATATGAATTGAAATATAAAAGAGAGAGCAACAGAAACAGTTTTGCTCACAAAAAAGAGAAATGCCTAACCCAGGGCATGATTTCATTTCTGTTCCAGCTTAACCAAGGGAAGACTGGTTTTGTGTGGCAGTTTTTCACATTCAGCAAATCTTATTGAGAATGGGAGACCCGGCTTTTTTCACCGGCTGCCTGGCTGCAGCTCCTTAGAGATGCATGGGAACATCTTTTTCTCACCTCATCCTTCTGGGCCTTCCAGGCTCCAAGCGCACTGACTGACAGGTAGGCCTGGGCTTTCTTTCCTTTATTGCATGCCTGTGGGCTGCATTTTAGGGGCAAACGTAGCCTCATCCAGTACTCTAACACCCCCAAGTCTTCTCCACCAGCTCCTGGGTAGCAAAAGTAGGAAAGGCATGGACATACAGAGCGGTAAAGATTAAGAGCATGAACAGAAGCAGGCCTGGTGAGTGCCTGAAATTCCAGCAGCTGAGAGGCTACAGCAGGGGCATTGCCATGTTCCAGGACAGTCTAGAGACAGAGAATGGCATGGGAAAACGCCAGGTGAGCAACTCCAGCCTTCAGTAATTACTGCACTTCCCAAAGAAAGCTGCTAGTCCTAGGAACTATAGGAAGCCTATAGCACTTACCAGTAAGTGTGGCAGAACCATGGACTTTCTCCACAGTCTCTAGCACCTTGTCAAAGGAAATCCAAACAGTCGCAAGAATATGGTGCTCACTAGCCACAGCCTGGTGGAGATCAAGCTGGGTTGGCGTTCCTTGAAGGTAGCTCACGAAAAAGGAATCTGTCTCCACCACATATAGGGAGGTGAAATCGTAGACGGGCTGTGGCCCCACGGAGAGTGGGGTACAGTGGGTTTCAAAGTCATAGAAAGAGTAAGTACAGAAAGTAGTAGGTTGGCCATCTCCAGCCTGTATCAGGGCAGCAGATGTCAGGAAGGCCTGGTGGATGTGCAGTTCAAAAAGATTCTCACTTCGATGCAGCAGAGAAACGTCTACTTCGTCCTCATCTCTGTGGGCTGACAGTGATTCCAGACACAATGGCAATTGCCAAGTGCCATAAGCAACATCTTTGAGCTGCTCTAGAGGGGAAAGAAAACTGCCTATCCATTAAAAAGTGGGGAGATCATCCTTAGGATAAAAGATAAAACAGAAGGAAAATAAATCTCGATGGAAATTCAAACCGAGATTATTTCAGGAAACTACGTGACTCAAGAAGAAAAGCAATACAGTGACACCCAGAAGCTTTGATTTCTGAGGGTCAAAGGACCACTGCCTGCATCAGAGGTACAGATGGGGGACTGGAAAATAAACACTGAACTTGGGGAAATGCATTTAATCACACAAATGAGGTTCTTTGGACTTACATCCAGGTCTTATGGATTCATTGGTAATTCCAAAAGGGTAGCACTAGAAACACAGTGTATTTCCAAAAGATTTCTATGTTGGCCACAGATAGCATAACAAGTGATGGACCCAGTGTCTATCGCATTATATCTGGCCCCTCCCAGAAAGGCTGCCATTACCTGCCAGCTCAGTTACGAAAAGATTCTTTTTTTCTGTTCAGAAACTGGTCTCATTGTAAGAGAGCAAGAATCCCGCTTTGAATCAAAGGGTAATGGAACAAAATGTGGGAGAGGAGACGTTCTGGAAAGAGGTTGAAAATATTGGCAATGGCTGGAAGTGGTGGCCCATGCCTTTAACTCAGGAGGTAGAAGCAGGCAAATCTCTGTGAGTTTGGTCTACATAGTGAGTTCCAGGCCAGTCAAGGCTACATAGTGAGACCCTGTCTAAAAGAAAAGAAAAAAGAAAAGGGAGGGGAGGGGA